TAGCAACTTCCTTGTAAACTTGGCAGCCTTACCCTTCAGATTTTATCAACCATGCGTGTAATCACTATATTGCTCTATGTGTTTCCTTTAATGACATGTAATAAAACACCACATTATCAACACTTGCTTCTCTCTGGTTGGTCCACGTCATCGCTGAGGTGGCTACTAAGTTTTGGTGCCAACACTCAGTCATGTCTAGATCTTCTTGCTTCTCTCCGTCAGGAAGTTTCCAATCAAAGTGATATAATAAATTAGCAAGTGCAAGCTCAACATTAGCTACCGCGAACAATATGCCAGGACATATTATCCTTCCAGCACCAAATGGTGTAAATTAGAAATGAGTCCCCTTGTAATCAATTGAACTGTCAAGGAATCTTTATGGACAAAAGCTCTCTGGATCACTCCAATTTTCAGGATCCCTACCAATTGTCCATACATTAACAATGCTTTGAGTTTTCGCAGGTATTTCATATCCGTTGATTTTATATCTTTCTCTGCTCTCTCTTGGAATTAATAAAGGGACAGGAGGGTGTACTCTGAGAGTTTCTTTGATAACTAACTTTAAGTAACTCAATTCATGGATGTCATCTTCAGTAAGAATATTTCCTTTTTTTACATGAAACACGCGTGTCTCACCTCAGCTTGTGCCTTTTCCATAACTAGTTATAGATGATGACTCAATCCCGCCACCAAACATGTCCTGAATCAACTTTAAAATTGAGTTGAAAGATATATATAGACCAGTAGCATGACTTATATATTGAGTCCTATTATGCTATCTCAGAGCTTGCCTTAAAAAGATGCAATTTTGGGCATTAGCCACTTTTGGTGTTGGACTAGCATTATATATATATTGAACATATTTGAAACTAAATTTTATTGTGTAAAAAGGGATTTGGACTTTGGGCCGGCTGAGGTAAAAAGTAATTCATTGATTTTGGTAGAAGCAGAAAGTAAATGTACTAACCAAAAAAACTGACTTGATGATTGACGTAGTTATTGGGATCTAAAGGTTACCCTTCTCTTGAAGTTTTAGAAGAACATCAACCAGGTCTTCATGAACAGCTTCACAATCACCAGTATGTTTTGCCACCTTGCTAACTTTATCATCAATAGTGTTGGTAAATGCCCTATCAAGGTTTTGATGAAGCTTCTTAAGTTTATGCCTCAGCCTATTTATCAAAGGAAGCACTTTAATTGAAAGAAAGAGATCAGCGAACTTGAAACCTCCTACTACAACTGCAGCTTGCCTGATAAGTGATATGAATTCTTTTTGCCCATGGAATTTCTTACTAATGGCTGCCTTTGCAGTGACACTGTATGTCAATGAGAAAAGCTTTTCACTGAGATTGATGAGAGATCCTGTATGTGTCGAAATAGATTTGATCAAATTCAAAGTCTCTTCTTCCCTAATAAGTCAGAATGATTAGACACATTTGACACTTAAAATCTCCAATATGCAAATTTTTCAAAGTTGTTTCCAGTAATCCCCATAAGGTGCAAAGGTAATGTCTTTCTCAGATATGATATTTATAGCAAGATTAAAAGGCATGCTAGCAAAGATGATATCGTGTGTTTTCATCACCTATTTTGCAATTTCTGTTGAAGAAATGACAATGATAGAAAGTTGTCATCAGAGGTCCGTGTTTCATGATCCGAAAAAAGTTTGGGTTCATTTGTAGAGGGGAAATACCAAATGTATTCAACACTAGATGGTAGAAGGGATGAAGGAGAAAATGAAGGGCGTGCAGATGACCGACCAAAAGCACAAGTGTGTCCTCACTAACCCACTCGCCTACATAGAAATCAGACTCGAGAAGGTATAGGTCGATTGTTACCCCCTCGGGAACGTTAAATTTGTCAAGAAGAGGATTTATATTCACCAACTTATAAGAGAATGATAGAATTGAAGCTCGTTCGTCTTCAAAAAATGGGCAGATGGGTTCAAAGGTGGAAACCTCAGTTTGAGAAGAAGATTCCCTCTCTTTCATTGAAAGATCATCGCTAGAGATGACTATGGTGAAAGATCTACGAGGTGGTACGCGGACTAATTTAGGTGAAGCAGTGGTTGTTGATTCAAGGTCAACATTGTCAGTAAGATGAAGGTTGGTGTTAGTGCTTATGATTAACGGAAATGAAAGAGTAAGGAAAAGTAAGATCTGACTTGAGGAAATCGCAAGAGTAATGAAGAAATAAAAGATGGAGAAGAACTTGGAGGTGAACAGAGAAAGCTAGTAGAAACCAAAACCTTAATATCCATGAGATGTAAATGGCCAGACACTTCAAATGTTTGAGTATCTTAAATCCCTTCAAAATAGGGACCGTTGCCCAATTTAGGAGGGAATTGGGGGCAATGTGTAGAGGAAAAATAATTTCCCACCAATGATAAGTTGACATATCAGCACAAGAAGGGACTATCAAAGCTTATAATGACTATTCAACTGCCAACTTGGGCCAAATCACGAAGATTGGGTTGGAAGACTTTAATCCAGCGGGTTGGACTCATTATATGGGCCCGAATCTAATGACTCCAAGCCCACATTTGAGTACATGGGTTGAACCCACTCTGACTACAATTTTATTAAAAGACGGATATTGTTATTCAGGGCAACCAAATTGTGTAAATCTTTATCATATGGAAACGTATATTGTAATTGGTATTCTTGCAGGACAAACAACGCGAGTCCTAAAAGGATTCAACCACTGCAAATCCTTATAAATAGAGGCTAGTCCTCTGAATAAAATATACAAGCCTTTCTTATTAAACATTGGCTTTTAGTTAATAAGTGTTTTATTTCTTAATTATTCGTTTTGTTCTTGAGTGTTATGAGATAATTCGTTGACTTTTTCAAGTTGACGAAATTTTTGCATATACACCTTGGATCTTGAAAGAGCTAGAGTTCATTTACGATGATATGCCTTAGATATCTATTTTTTTCTTTTTCTTTTTCAATAATAATGCTGAGATATCTTAATTTTGCTAGGGCTTGCTACGTAAAGATAGATGAATATGTGAAAGGGAAAGAAACGATTAAGATCTTTCTCTCTCTCTTTTAATGTTTTTTCTTTTAATGTAATAGGAAACTAAAGTCCCTTTTCACATATGCTTACAACTTTCACTTATATTTTAGATTACAATTGAAATAAGATAGTATACTAAATAGGGCGCCCCTTTAATAACATTATACTTATATTTTAGATTGCAATTAAAATAAGATAGTGATAATTTCTGTATGGAAGACGATATTCGCACTTTTCTACGTCTGTGCTTTATTTTTAAAAGAAATGACAATTCTAACCCTAATTTTATAAGTAAATGATTATATTTTTTCAAATGACACAACTACCCTTTTCAAATTCCTCTCTTCGTCTCTAATCTTAAATAGTTTAGATCTCTCTTGACAAAACAAAAAAAAATATATATATATATATATATCTTGTTAATATTTTTACAGGACCAAGAAATATTTATACATATCCAAAATACAATTTATTGCTTTCGAATAAATTGCCTCTTATGATCGGACACAAAAAGAAGGTACCCATTAACAAAAATTGTCTCTAATGAGTAAATTATTTCGTTCTAATAAGACAAAAAAAAAAAAAAAAAAAAAAAAAAAAAAAAAAGGTGGGAAGAAATGAGGGCGTTGAGAGTTTGTATGTGGGAGAAGGTTACAAGTGGGACTTGTTCCACATCGGATTCAGATGGAAAATGTAATGGGTCCACCAAATAATTTAACCTTTTAAGTCGGATCGTAAAACACCCAACCCATTACAATAAGATTTTTCTAAATTTATTTATGTTTGTACGTAATACTCTAAATCTTTTTCAATCCAAAAATTAATAAGGAAAGCTTATGGCTTTGGAACCACATGGCCTTAAAAAAAATAAAAATAAAAATAAACCTGTTTTAGAGGTTTATTGAACTTATCAAAGAGCTAAGCTTTTGAAATCTCAACACTTGTAAAACTTTGCAGTAAAAACACCAAAAAGGAATAATACTCTTTATTCAATTGTCTATGGAAGTCCACTTAACACCGGTTCTTATTTTACCTTTCATCTATATTGTTATATATATATATATATTCTAACATATGATTACATTATTTATTATATATAACTTAATTAACATTAGAGAGACTCACACTGAAACTGAAAATTCAATAATGACCATTCAATGCTTTCTACCTTCTTAACTTATCATCTTACTCATGAATTGAAGGATGATAAGCAACAGGAATCACACACAAATCCCTTTTCCTGCTAACTATTGCACCAAATAACTCAGTCATGTCTAAATCTTCTGGCTTCTGTCCCTCAGGAAATTTCCAGTCAAAGTGATACAATAAATTAGCAAGTGGAAGCTCAACATTAGCTATGCCAAACGACATGCCAGGACATTTTCTCCTGCCAGCACCAAATGGTGTAAATTGGAAATGAGTCCCCTTGTAATCAACTGAAGTGTCAAGGAATCTCTGGATGAAAGCTCTCTGGATCACTCCAATTTTTAAGATCTCTACAAATTGCCCATACATTGACAATGACTTTGGTTTTCGTAGGTATCTCATATCTATTGATTTCACATATCTCTCTGCTCTCTTTCGGACTTAATAGAGGGCCAAGAGGGTGTAACCTTAGAGTTTCTTTGATAACTAACTTTAAGTAACTCAATTCATGGATGTCATCTTTATTAACAATGTCTCCTTTTTTACTTAAAACTTGTCTCACCTCTGCTTGTGCCTTTTCCATAACTTGTGGGTTTTTCAGCAATTCTAACATTGCTCATATTACAGTTGTGAATGATGTATCAGTCCCTCTGGTGAATATGTCCTGAAAGTGCATTGAAATTGAGTTAGAAGAGTAGAGAATACTATAAAAGTAAATATTTGTGGAAGTTAATTCATTGATAGTACTGGTAGATGCAGAAAGTAAATGTACCAACCATGATAACTAACTTGAGTAGTGTCATAGTTAAGGGGATATCAAGGTTACCCTTCTCCTAAACTTTTAAAAGCACATCTATCAGGTCTTCGTGATCAACAACTTCACCAACTCTTGCTTTATGTTCATCAATAATGGTAGTAAATATCTCATCAATTTTTCGATGAATCTTCTCAGCTCTAGGCCTCAGCCCACTTATCGAACCAAGTATTTTAACTGAAGGAAAGAGATCAGCAACATTGAAACCTCCTGCTACCTCCATAGTATCCTTGATAAGTGATAAAAATTCTTCTTGCCCATGAAATTTCTTACCAACGGCCACCTTAGCAACAACGCTGTATGTCATGGAGAAAACCTTTTCAGTGAGATTCATGAGAGATCCAGCTGTATGTGTCAAAAAAGATTTGATCAGATTCGAGGCCTCTTCTTCCCTGATGGGTCAGAATGATTGGACACGCTTGGCACTTAAAAGCTCCAGTATGCAAACTTTTCAAAGTTGTCTCCAGTGATCCCCATAAGGCGCGAAAGCAATGTCATTCCTAGATATGATATTTATAGCAAAAATAAAAGGTTTGCTAGCAAAGACGATGTCATGTGTTTTCAACACCTCTTTGGCAAATTCCGCTGAAAGGTCCATAATTCATGGCCAAATCTCGTAGGCGGGGATGGGGTAGAGATCCAACAAATTGGTGAATGTTACCTATTAGAGGTAGCTTCCAAGGCCCAGGAGGCAGTTTTGGAGATAAACTGATATTGGTTTTAAAAACCATGAACAGAAACAGAAAGAATGTGAATAGAATTGGGAAGATAATGATTGGGAACTCCATCATCGATCACTTGTCCAGATTTATGCTTGCTGTGGCATAAGGTGATTAATTTAGTAGTAGTTTGACAAATAATCATCACAGTTTGGATAACATAAAATATAAAGCTTTGTATCTTATTTGAATTTGGATCGACTCTTAGTTGTCAATTAGAACTGAAACCTCATAATTTCATCAAATAAAAAAAAAGCTCCTAATGATCAGTACTCTAGAACATGACAAAAGTTCTCTTTAGCTAAAATATCTTATTAATATAATTTTCTGGCTTGGCCGGGGCGAACCCAATCGTATATAATCATGTATCAATTATGTTTTTTTTGTGGCCGAGATTGGGTTGGTGTTGAGGACAATATTGAAATTGAAATAGAACAAGAGAAGCTGGCTTCTTAATTCTGAATCTAAAAGCTTAGTGGTGAAGATTCGCCATGGAGATATTTGCCCATTTGTTGAATCGTGGGCGTAGCCATTTGAGGGAGGTGTATTAATAACTAGGTTCATAAGCAATAAATACCTTTATGGTATGTAAATAGGGTATATAACTCCCTATAAATTTTTAAAAGTTTCTAATTTTTATTTTTAGTCCCAACAAAAGGCCTGTCAATTGCAAGACTAAAATGTCCTTATGTATTTGAAAATAAAAAAGATTAAAAACAAAATAAATGTAAAATGATTAAAGTATTCTAACTAAAAGAAAGAAAAATGATGTTTAGATGTAAAATAGTATAAGGGCGTACTGGGGAGACCAAAAGGGCAGTTCAATAGTATTGTATCAAAATAGCTGGTTTGAGCAGGCATAATTTAATTATTTTGCTTTAGGCCTCTAATGATGTCACGTCGGGGCAGGGCTTGTCTGCCTGATAAGCATCCCCTATAAAAAAACAAAACTATTTCACAGCGAAAAGCAAGGTGAATCACATAAGAAGCCTTTGGAATCCACCTTATTGCAAGTTTACTAATTACAAGTAATATAAAAATTATTTCTAAACGACCATGAAATGTTATATGAAAATTAGGGTGAAAATGGGGAAGAGAGATATTACTTAAGCTCCATGAATTGTTTAAGCATATAAAGTACATCCACAGTTGGCATTAGCAAAAAGTATTCGCCGCAAATAATAAAAAAATTACAAGTATAATAAAATACTTATAAAAAAATGCATGCACGTATGTCCATAGAGAGAGAGAGAGAGAGAGACACGCTTACATAGTTGGGGAGTTGGGGATAGAGCTCAAATGAGTTACAGCACTAGTTCCCACGTCTCTTCAGTGTAGAGTGGAACAAGGAACATTAAAAAGGGATGCCTGTGAATTAGAGAGAAATTTGCCCTGTATTTATAGAGAAACTTTAAACGTAAAGAGAGTACAAATTACTCCCAAAAAAAAAAAAATTAAATAAATAAATTAATTAAAGGAAGGGAAGAAGAAGATGAAGAAATGACTAATCTTTATTTTGCTTTTTTTGAATGGCAAATAAATCAAATTTAATACAACCACGTCTATGACAAAACAACAACACAAATTAAATACAACACGTGGTTGAAAGGAAAAAAATGAAACGTGAAGAAACAAAATAAAATCCAACGAAATACTAATATCTTACATTTGATCCACAGACCATGCACCAAATTCTATGTATAGGTTATTGAAGATGATATCATTGGCAAAGACAATGTAGCTGTTCAATTCAAAACATCTTGGTTTTTCAATCACCATTTACCACAAGTCAAGAAGGGATAGTCATATTGTGTGTTCCACTTGTCCACCCATAAATTCGTGTTACTTACCCAACCTGCTGTTTCCAAGTTCCGTGTACATATAGTAAACCTTCAAACTATTACTATTACTTTTTTTTAATTAATGTAAGACATAATTTTGAACAGTTTGACAAATTCCTTTTCAATTCAAAAGAAGCATTTTTTTGGGTGAAAATTATCCATTAAGAAAAATTCACTAACCCTAGTTTGTGATTTTTGTTTGAAGATGCAAGAATTCGTTTCTTCTTTCTCTCTCTAGAATTCTTACCCTTCAATAGAATCCAAAAAATTTTCTCCCCTTATCCACCTGTAATGGTTTATTTATAGACCATTACAATTATTATTGTTAACTGATTACATTGGGCCTATATTCAAAAGTTTTCTTCCTTCTGGGTCTGATCTTCCAATGGGCTTGATCTTCCTCGGTGGATTCTCCAGGTTCGGCCCATTCCGAGGTGCTTTGGCATGGGCCATACTTCAATTGTTCGACCCGATCCCGTTCCAGCGAACTATATCCGGCCCATGCCACTTGCTGCATCCTCAACTAAAGATCAAGCCCATTGGAAGATCAGACCCAGAAGGAAGAAAACTTTTGACTATAGGCCCAATGTAATCAGTTAACAATAATAATTATTATAATGGTCTATAAATAGACCATTACTGGTGGATAAGGAAAGAGAACTTTTTGGATTCTATTGAAGGGTAAGAATTCTAGAGAGAGAAAGAAGAAACGAATTCTTGCATCTTCAATTGGCGCCGTCTGTGGGAACGGAGAAGAAGATCAATTCGAGCCCGATCAGTACTATATTAGTTCAATCAAGTTTGTGAGTACACAGTGTGATTTCTGGAAGTTGAATCCAGATCAGTGAGCTTGTAGTTTGTTCAGAGAGAATTCTTGCTTATTGTGGATTCTGAGGCATTTGCTTCGGAATGACGCAATTGTGATTTGCTCAATTGCAGTCAGATCCGATGAGTTCAAAGCTAGAAAAGTTCAGATCTAGCAAACAGTGATCACGATTCGGTGAAGTTAAGCCCAGATCTAACGGAGTTTGCATCGGTGACGCTTAGATCTATTTCGGAGTTCGTAATTCATGCCTTTGCTTCGATCCGGAATCATGATAGGGGGTGACAACTCCAATACGGTTGAGAACGTCCAGCAAGTGAAACTTGATGAGTTGATGAACATGATCGAAGCTCTCCGGAGAGAAAATGCGGATTTAAGGACTGAAATGCAGTGTCAAGAAGCTCCAGTAATTCCACGACCACTCCCGGTAGGAGAAGAAGGTGCACGTACCGATGCAGCACATCACGGTGAGGAGGTTGGAAACAATCTAATAGATCCTCACCGCGAGGAAATCCAACGAGACGGTTTGCCGCTAAATCTTCGTCGTATTGATGATCGTGAAGGATCAACTCACATGGATCCACGGCGTGAGCAGATCAGGCGAAACGAAGCAATGACTTTTGATCCACATCAAGAAACGCTCAGCCGAGGTGAAGCAACAGAGTTGAATCATCACAAAGCTATGCCTCCATAGCGCAAAGACTTTGTTGAGGACAAGTCATTCGATCCGACCTATCGGCCTTTCATGAAGACGTTTGACAATCACAGCTCAGAGAAGAGATCAGTAGACCAGAGAGCAACTGCGGGGTTCCAGAGGGAAAATGAAGCACTCCGTTCAGCAGCTCGAACAGTTGATTCACCGTTCACTGATGAGATTCTGAATGCTCCGAGTCCGAGGAAATTTTCCATGCCCGTTTTCATTCTGTTCGACGGAACAACCGATCCGATCGATCACGTGTATCACATCCAGTTGAAAATGGCTCTAAACACTGAGAATGACTCTTTGATGTGCAAGTGCTTTCCTACGAGTCTGGCCGGACCAGCTCTGAATTGGTTCAAGAACCTGCCGAGGGGTTCAGTGGATAGTTTCTGAAGTTTGTGTGATCGGTTCATAAGCCAATACTATGGAAACAAGCGTCCAGCGAAAGATATTTCGAGCCTATTCACAATGAAGCAACATGCTGATAAGCGTCTCCAGGCTTTCCTAACCAGGTTTAACCTTACCAAGAGCATGGTTATTGAATGTTACCCTTCAACGGCAGTTCAAGCATTCATACTGGCCATGAACCGTGGCACCCCATTCCACACAAGCTTGGTGGTGAACACACCGAAGACTATGGATGAACTTAACGTAAGAGTCGATGGATTTGTGCGCTTGGAAGAAGAAGAGGCGGCAAACGCTCGGAAGACTTCCGTCATATCTACGGAAGAAAAGACCAAAGCAAAGATCAGGCAAAAACAGGTTCAGCCGCAACGCTCCTCGTGGAAATCTGAGAAAAGGCCCAGAGAGGAAGAGCTGGTTACTCCATTGAAAGTTACCCTAGCAAGACTGTACCAAGAAAATAAAGATAAGTTCCGACCTCCTTTACTAATCAGACAACCTCTCGAACAGAGGGATCAGTCTAAGCACTGTGCATTTCATTCTGATTTTGGCCACCAGACTAACGAATGCAGGAACCTAAGGAAACAGGTAGAGATACTGATAGCCAGAGGGGAGTTCGCAAGTTATATTCAAGGACCAGCGGTAGAACAGAACCGACCAATGGAGCACGTGAAGAAGAATCAGAAGTTAAATTTTCACAACACGCAACCAGTTCGAGTAATCAATGCAATTCACGGTCGGCCAGAACCTGCCGAGGAGTCAGATGAACTGCTTCGAACACGCCTTCGCCAGGCACAGATGAAGAGAAGGATAGGCAGTGTAAACACTCTGCACCGACAGAGCGCATCAACGCAGATAAAGTTTGATGTAACAGACTTGTTGCGTGTTCAGATCCCTCATGAGGACCCGCTGGTCGTAAGTTTGACAGTGGCCAAATGCTTGGTGCGCAGAGTTCTAATTGACCCCGAAAGTAGTGCGAACATCATGCCAAGGGATACATTCGATCTACTCGAGATCAAACAGGATCGGCTGAAATCCACCGGGAATCCACTACTAGGGTTTGATGAAAAGCGAGTGGAGCCCGTCGGTACGGTGGAGGTAGCGGTACATGCTGCCGAGAGGATTTTGATGGAAACCTTTGTGGTTGTTGAAATTCATCCCTCTTACAATCTTCTGATGGGCAGAGGGTGGATCCACAGAGTTCAAGGTGTTCCTTCCACTCTGCATCAGGTAATGAGATGCCTAGGGCCAGACGGAACCAAAGTGATTGACATTCATGGAGACCAGGTTGCAGCTAAAGAATGTTATTCTGTAACACTGAAACATGCCGGAAAGGGAAAAGCTCCCATTCGTTCAGCAAGTCCAAGATAGCAATTACAGGAGCCTTCCTCCAAGCAGAGTGGGGAGGAGGAGCCAATAGGCTTGACTGAAGAACCCCTGTTTGATGTGCAGATTGATCAGTTCCGACCGGAATGGACAACCAGAGTGGGGGAACGACTCGTTGAGGAGGAAAAGCAGGAATTAGTTGATTTTTTGTCTCAAAACGCAGATGTGTTTGCATGGAGTCACCTAGACATGCCAGGGATCGATCCTTCTGTATCTTGTCACTCCTTGAACATTAACCCCAATGCAAAACCTGTAAAGCAGAAGCAGCGACGGTTTGCCCCCGAGCGCAACTGAATTATTGCCGAGGAGGTTGACAAGCTGCTTGATGCAGGGTTTGTAAAAGAAGTGTACTACCCTGACTGGTTATCGAATATGGTCGTTGTGCAGAAGAAAAATGGGAAATGGCGCGTATGCATTGATTTCACCAATTTAAACAAAGCCTGTCCGAAGGATAGCTTCCCGCTGCCAAAGATTGATCAGATGGTGGATGCAACTACTGGATATGAATGCTTGACCTTTTTAGATGCTTATTCAGGTTATAAACAGATCCCCATGGACCCTGCTGATGAAGAAAAAACTTCTTTCGTTACCGAACGCGGGACGTATTGCTACAAAGTTATGCCATTCGGACTGAAGAACGCCGGAGCAACTTACTAAAGACTTATTAGCAAAATTTTTAAGGAACAAATAGGGAAGACAGTGGAAGCTTACATTGATGACATGGTGGTAAAAAGTAAGAAGAAAGCTGATCATGTGAAGCATCTGCAAGACATGTTTGATGTGTTGAGGCGATATGGAATGAAGCTCAATCCGACCAAGTGCTCATTCGGTGTAAGTTCAGGCCAATTCCTAGGGTACGTGGTTAATCTCAGAGGCATCGAGGCAAGCCCTGCCCAAGTAGATGCTCTGACTAAGAATGCCGAGCCGACGACAGTCAAAGAAGTGCAAACACTTACGGGACAGATTGCTGCACTGAGCTGGTTCATTTCCAAATTGTCAGATCGATGCAAACCATTTTTTGACACACTACGAAGCCACGGCAGGCAGGTTTGGGGGGATGAACAGCGCCTAGCGTTAACTGCTCTGAAAAAGTATATGCAGAACCTTCCGGTACTGTCAGCTCCAGAATCGGGCGAAAAGCTGTTTTTATATCTCGGAGTATCTAGCATCGCGACAAGTGGCGTTCTGATCCGCTACGCAGAAGGGAAGCAATATCCAGTGTTCTATGTTAGCAAGCAAGACAATGACTGAGGCTGAAAGACGTTATTCAAAGGCAGAGCGGGTGATACTCTCGCTAGTGCATGCGAAAAGAAAGCTCAGGCATTATTTTGAATCCCATCCTATCATCGTTCTAACCACTTTCCCTATCAGAATAATCCTGCACAAACCAGATCTCTCAAGAAGAATGACGAAGTGGGCCATAGAGTTAAGCTCATTTGATATCACATACGAACCTAGAATAGCAGTCAAAGGGCAAGCGGTGGCAGATTTTTTACTAGAATGTGATTCAGAGGACGTGGAGGAGGATCTTCGTGGTTGCTTATGGAAACTCTTCGTTAATAGATCCTCAAATCAGATGGGTGCAGGCATTGGGATCAAACTGCAGACGCCAGAAGGTACAGCCTTAAGCAAAGCGCTTCGGCTTGAATTCGGAGCCACGAACAATGAGGCAGAGTATGAAGCGTTGCTGGCAGGAATTAAGCTTGCCAAGGAGCTTAGGGTCAGGAATTTGAATGTTTTTAGTGACTCACAGTTAATTGTTCGGCAGGTGAGGGGTGAGTATGAAACCAAGGATGAAACAATGAAAGCATATCGTTATGCTGTTATGCGGGAGGCCAAAAACTTTGAAAAAATTGAATTCATTCAAATTCCAAGGGAGTATAACGAAGATGCCGACCGGCTAGCATGTAGTGCCTCGGGTTCTGGAGAAACATTGGCAAGGGTGATTCCAGTAGGAATATTAAACCAGTCATCCATTTTCAAAGAACCTTCAGGCTCGGATCCTTGGCAAATGAATGTTATTCCATATGAGTCGAGCTGGATTAATCCGATCATAACTTACATCCGAGATGGTACTCTACCTGAGCAAAGAGATGAGGCTAGGAAAATCAAAGTGAATGCTGCGAAGTACGCCGTAGTGCATAACCAGTTATACAGAAGATCTTTTTCCGGACCGTACTTAAAGTGTGTTACCCCCACAGAGGCTCGGCAAATACTACGAGCTATTCATGAAGGTGTATGTGGAAACCACTCAGGGGGGAGATCTTTAGCGCACAAAGCAATGGTGTAAGGGTACTTCTGGCCGAACATGTCGTGAGACTCGGAAGAATTGTCCAGAAGGTGCGATAAGTGCCAAAGGTTCGGACCACTGATTCACCAACCACCTGAAGACTTGCACGTAATTGCCACACCATGGCCTTTCGCACAGTGGGGGATGGATGTAGTTGGTCCTCTACCAACTGCCAGAGCTCAGAACAAGTATGTGTTGCTGGCTACAGATTACTTTACTAAGTGGGTGGAAGCAGAGCCATATCCGAGCGTTACTCAAACTCATGTGAGACGATTCATTTGGAGTAATATTATTTGCCAGTTTGGTGTTCCGAGATCAATCGTCATGGATAATGGGACCAACCTTGACAGTAAGCAAGTAAGAGAGCTGTTGGAGGAATATGGAATTAATCAAAAGCTGGCGGCAGTAAGTCATCCACAGGCCAATGGACAGGCGAAAATTACAAATAGAACAATCTTACTTGTATCAAGAAGAAGTTAGAAGAAAAGAAAGGAAGGTGGTTAGATGAACTGCCGAACGTCCTTTGGGCCTACAGAATAACCCCAAGACGACCGACCGGAGAAAGCCCATTCACCATGGCGTATGGTACCGAGGCAGTTATACCAGTCAAGCACTTAGTTCCGACTGTTCGAAGCTTGGCATGGAACCGTGAGCATAATGACAGTATGTTAAGGTTTAACCTCGATTTGCTGGAAGAAAAAAGAGATGCAGCAGCGATAAGGCTCGCATCCTACCAGCAGACGCTTGCGAACAGCCATAATAAGAAAGTAAAGCACAGAAACTTTAGACCAGGTGATCTGGTTCTGAAAAAGAAGGTGGGGATAGTCAAAAAGATGATGCCACCATGGGGAGGCCCATACAGAATTGCAGAAGCCATAGGAAATGGGGCATATACCTTAGAAACCATGGCCGGAAGGTTGGTTAACAAGTCTTGGAATGCTACTTCTCTGAAGAGGTATTATCAATAAAAAGTTGAGATTCAATACTTAATTTCGTTCATTTTCAATTGAACACAGTCGAATGTACAAGTTTCTGAGATTTATAAAGATTATATTCCTCTTTAAAAGGTTGAGCAAAGTAAGTGGCAGCTGTCACTATGAGCCGAACGCCAAACACTTGCTAAGAAAAAGAAAAAGAGGGCCAAGTGGCAAGTGGCATTCTAGCCGAGCGCCAGGCGCCTGAGCAAAGTAAGTGGTAGCTGGCACTATGAGCCGAACGCCAAATACTTGCTAAGAAAAAGAAAGAGAGGGCCAAGTGGCAAGTGGCATTCTAACCGAGCGCCAGGCACCTGAGCAAAGTAAGTGGCAGCTGGCACTATGAGCCGAACGCCAAACACTTGCTAAAAAAAATAATAATAATAAAATAAAATAAAAATAAAAAAAGGGCCAAGTGGCAAGTGGCATTCTAGTCGAGCACCAGGCGCCTGAGCAAAGTAAGTGGCAGCTGGCGCTATGAGCCGAACGCCAAACACTTGCTAAAAAAAAAAAAAGTTTACATAAAGAGCTTGATCAGAAGTTGGCCATCTCATTAATAAAGTTCAAAGAGTTACAAAAAATATGAGGTGTAAAGATGGCGAATATACAAAAGTCAGTACATTAAAAAAAAAAAAAAAAAAAAAAAAAAAAAAAAAAAAAAAAAAAGAGTTCTAACTAAGAGGCATTTGCCTCGTTAGCCTCTTGATGGTGCTGGACTGTCTCTTCATTATTGTTGGTATCACCATCCTCACGAGGTGGAGAGTCGAGGTGAATGACAGAATCGTTCTGTTGAGTCCTACCCTCGATAGCGTTGGAGGAATCATTCTGCTGAGGGTTATCTTCAGCAGTAATAACAGATGGAGTCACGGTGGACAGAGGAAGAATGTCCAAAGTCAGAGCAGCAGAAGGAGTAGGAGTGATCCGAGAAGAGGCAATCTCTTAGCATTCATCAAATATGCCCTCAGCAACGGTGGAGTCTGGATCGGCATAAACACCAGGAGGGTCAATATCCAGTTCCTTGTCAACATTATCAGGGGTAGAACCGGTCTGACCCTCATCCGGAAAACGATCGGCATAACCCTCTCGGAACCCCTAAGCATATCTGAGGGCACCAACTCTAGAAAACCGAGCATGCAGAGCTAGCATACCACCGTTTACCCTACTGATGGTATCGAGTAAAGTGTTGCGCTTGTCCAAGGCCCTTTTCTCAAAGGCCATCCGAGCGGATTGCTCATCACTCAGAAGGCGTAGCAGTTCTTCCTTTTCAGCCTTAAGGGATTCCCGCTCGGTATGCCAGACACTCTTTTCGAGCTGCAATGCATTCCTCTCATCCTGAAGAGAGTCAGTCTCCTTCCTCAGCGAATCCCTCTCCTTTTCAATTTTACCAAGATGAACCATTAACCCGGTCTTCTGAGCAGCCAAATCATCGTTCTCCTTGTTCGCTGCATTAAGGTTGTCAGAAAGCGCACGGACCTTGACATTCACAAGCTCAACTTGTTTCTGCATAACCATCATCCCATACAGGGTCTGTAGAGATATACAGGACAACTGGTTAAGCCGAGCAGATGGTTAGAAGAAAATAAGTGTAAAGACTGTGTAAAGACTTATTGACTAAGGGGCAGAAGTTACCTCCATGGTGGATAAGGGAAATCGGCTGAACACTTCCCTCTGAGACAGACCTTTGGCTACCTCAATGTCCTGGGAGTCCACATGCTTCTGTAATAAGCCTTTGCGGTCTGACCATCCTTGAACATGGTCTCGGTCGGTTTAACAGACGATCCGTCTATTCGAATGAAGCGAGGGTTCCATGGCGCCGTTCCTGAAGCGGAGGCATGCCCAGAGAGGTAAGGGGCCTAGTCTGAGGAGGTCTCGCTAGGGATATCACATTCGGCCTAGAGGGCCTAACCCTCTGAGACAAAGGAACATCATCGAACATCATCGACGCTGAGGGCACTATCAGGTTGGTGCCTTTTTCCTCTTGCCTTTTCCCGTGCGGAAGCAGTAGTAGAACTAGGAGGATTGCTGACAGA